TCTGGGCAAGTTTCTTGAAGAGGCTGATGGATTTTCCACTTCATTCAGATAAATGTGGTGCTTTCCATAGTGGTAGAATTTAAAGACATAGCTGTGTTAGTCTGTAGAATTAATATGGAGAGAGATTTTGTAGCACCTTTGAGACTAACTGAAATTTTTTTTAAAGAGATCAGAAAAGTTACTTTTTCACACTGCAGCTGCCAGAACCTTCCCTAGCCAGCATGGCCAATATCTTTTCCAAACTCTGCCAAGTCAAGGTTATAATTGATCTGATTTAGTGCTGTCTGCTCCAACTGGCAGGGCCTTTCTGTGGTGTCAGAGAGGAGTCTTTCCTGGCCTTACTGAAGGTATCAGAGACTGAAACTAAGGGCTTTTGCAGACTGCTAGAAATAGTGCAAATTAAGTCCACTCAGTGCTAGGGAATCATGGGGAAAAAGCAAAACTGACACGTGCAAATGAGGCTGGGTTCTTACCAGTTAAAATTTATTTTATTAATGCATTATGAGTGATGGATGGACAGAAAACAACAAGGAAACAGGTCAGTCAGCTGAATGATAACAGAGGAGGAGGAAAAGTGAGGAAGTTCAGACATAGGGCCTTTGCAGACTGCCAGAAATAGTGCAAATTGAGTCCACTTTAACTGTCCTGGCTCAGTGCTAGGGAATCATGGGAATAGTATTTATTTTCTGAGACATTGAGCCTTCTCTGTTAGAGAGCTCTGGTGCCGCAATAAACTGCAGTTCCCATGATTCCTTAGCACTGAGTCAGGGCAGTTAAAGTGGACTCAGTTTGCACTATTTCTGGCAGTCTGCAAAGGCTGTCTGTCTTTCATGGAAAATAATTTTTGACAGGATTCCTTGCCTAAGAAAAACCCTAAGATTTAATTTTAATTTGTTTTAATTTGTTTCCTTCTTTGTATTAATGTTATTCTATTATTTTGTAGAATGTACGCCATTGGGAGGCTTTTTTTAATCTATTTTTATCTATTTTATTGACTGTGTAAATCTACAGCGCTATATAAATAAACTGTAATAGTAATAATGAAATTGATGGGGACACCATAAATCAACAGGTGACTTAGGGTACATATACTCTCTCTCACACACATACACAATATACAACATTGCCATGTGGGTTATTTCTTTTTTCCCCTGAAACTGTGAATGAAGATTTTTTTCCCCTTCCATTAACATACATCTGGGCTATATCTAAAAATACTGATTATTGATTATTGATCTGTCTGATCTTTGATTGGCAGATATTCTTGACTCTTTCGGATTTGCCAGCCCTGCAGGATGGAGAGTCCTATTCATGCTTCTTTGAAGACTATGAAAGCCCAGCAGTGCTGATGGGATCAGGCATCATGTGTCCCTCACCAGATCCCAGCCATGCACCAATTTTGAAAACAGGAACAGGTGAGTGGCTAGACCAGATTAAAATTAAGACAGCAATAGCTTGCTTGAAAAGGCTTCCTTTGGAGTTCCTACCTGAAAGTCAAACAAGGAACTTCCCAACTCTCACTCCTAGTCACTATACTGTTCCAGATTGCAAGAAAGGAAGAGCCACCATTGTCACATATGATGCTGTACAGCAGGGGTCGGCAACTTTTTGTTGCCAGGGGCCGGGGGGGGGAGAATGGTGCCGGGGCCTGGCGCGCACACATGCGCACAACACCCACCATCGTGCACATGCGTGCACGCGTGGGGGGCACCATTTTGGAAGGGCCAGCGGCACCGGCGCCATTGGGCGTTCCAAAATGGCGCCCACTACCATGCGCATGCACGCATGGGTGCCATTTTGGCGTCCAAAATGGCGCCTGTGCTTGCGCATGCATGTGCACGACGGCGGGCGCCATTTTGGAACACCCGCCAGTGCCGGTGCTATTGGGAGTTCCAAAATGGCGGCCCCGTCGTACGCATGTGTGCACAAGCCCGGCTGCCATTTGGGACGCCAAAATGGCACCTGTGCTCACGCATGGCGCAGCGGTGCACGCATGGTAGGGGTGGCGGTGGCAGGACCCACCACAGGCCGGTCCAAAGGCCTCCCCAGGCCACACTCAACCCGCAGGCCGTAGGTTGCCAACCCCTGCTGTACAGAATGTCTCTTCCCTGCCATTATGATAGTGTAGGAGGGGTCATTTGTGAAATGGGTCGCCCTTAGCACTTATTGCCATTAATACAAGTTAGGTAAAGATATTTCAGTTTGTTTCCTTTTTACCTCACTCTCCACCACAGCAATCTAGTTATTTGTTGCTTCCTTAAATCTTTTTTCTTATCCATTTATCCGTACCAGGTGACAGACCACTTTGCTCTTCCCAGCCTTTCTCCTCTCCTTCAGTGATCACAATCACTGTCTCTAGCCAAGATCCCATAGGATTCCTGACAAGAAGACTCTTGTCCCTTGAATAAATACTCACTAAATTAGATTAGGATGAATGGCAAATCATTTCTACCATCTAATAAACCATATACTTTATTTAAACAATGCTTGTAATTGTATTAGTTAAACATATTGAATCAAGCTTTACACAATGTGTTCTCCTGGCAGGGTCTCCACCACTTGTCTTTCATACTTACAAAATTTTAACTGTGAAATGCCTGTATGGGTTGTTGTTGTTTTTACAGCACAGGAATGTGCAGCCTTCTTGATGTTGTTAGGCTTCATTTTCCATCAGCCCTGGCTAGTGAAGGTTGATGGGAGTTGTAATTCAACCACATGTGGGAAAGCCACATATTCCCCATTTGTGTGTAGGAATACATATCCATTCCTATCTCTCACTTTCTAGATCTGAACTGTATGAGCACTATTTGCTGTTGAAGTGTACTTGAAGGGTCCTTTTCTTTCCCATTGCAGACCACATAACCATTCAGCTGCTGGTACGCTTTCGTAGCGTTTTCATTGCTTCAACAGCATTCTCTTTCTATGATTGCATGGCAGTGGCGTTTCTGAGGAAATTGGCACCGTAAGTCCATGAGATGATCTCTCTCTACCCATCCCCATTTCCCCAGCATTGTGATTACTTCAAAGCTTTTTTTTTTTTAATCTGTTGGTCCTCCTCAACAACTGTTCTCCTCTTTTTGTTTTCAGATGCCAGGGATGTGTGAGCAGCCATTGGGGATGTAACTGGTGTGTCCATCAACATCTCTGCACTCACAAAACTATCTGTGAGGAAGGAGCCATTATCTACAATGAGAAGGTGTGTCTTTCATTGCTCACACAGCTGCCACTCAGTTTGTTGAATTCCTGACAGATTTAGGTTCAAGATTCAGAGGGAGGCCATTTTGCTTCCATTGCATCCAGTAGTACAGTACTATAGGTCTGCAGAACCTTTTGTGGAATGACTGCTTTGGAGCAGAGTTGGGTAACAGATGGCCTGCAGACCCATGTTCCCCAACCACTCATTCTTCCATTTATCCTGTCCTACTGCCCAGACAGATCCTTGCTACTGCTGCCACCACCACCAAATTAGCTGCTACCAAAAAAAAACCCTCAAAACAATAGCAAGAAAACCCTTACTGCTTTGCCTTTAAAACAGAGGTGAGCAAATTGTGCCTTCTGGGCCACACATGGCCCTTGGGTTCTCTTTTTTAATGGCCATTGGGCTCCACTTTTGTTCCCTTTGAAATCAGCACTATTTTCAGGCACTTTTTGCCTCAAAGCCCTCAGAAGGGCCCCATACATGTGAAAACACACACAAAAATACCTCCATCCCACCTCCATGTGCACCCCAGAACCCTGTACTACCCCCAAATACCTCTGTTA